GACCAGGCTCTTATGATTAAGAAAGATGGTCTGCCGCAGCAAAGCCAAAAGACTAGCAGACCAGCTACCACCTACTTCGCGAAAGGACACTAGGCCAGCTTTGGACTCCGAAACAATATTCCCCTTCCTTGCGATCCGACCCCACCGACCATGTTTCCTAGATTTACGAATCTTCCGCCGACAATTCAAAATTGGCGAGAAATTCTTGATCAAAACAGACTCCGCCGAAACTGTAGATTCAAGCTCATTTACTAGGGGAATTATGACATACTTACCTATGCCAAATTAGGATAAGCCTTTCGTACAGCTCAGGACAAGTACCAAGGCCCCGTAGCTTAACCGTGCGAAGATGTTCAACCCATCTAATGTATATTCCACGCGTGGAACACCCTATGTATTGCGCTTTACACCACGGGGAAGAAAGGATATAAACCACCGGTCCAGCATCCCAAGAATCCCGGTTGACGTTGAGCAGCAAAGACGTGAACTTCGTCATCCACAAGATCTCACCTAAAAGAGCCAGACCAACAAAACATAAGGTGACACACCTGTCATACAACAAGCGAAGGTGGGCGGCTCGGCCATGGTTCCAAACGCGGTTCTGACGAACAATGCACTCAAACAGGTTCAGCCAGAGCCTGAGACGTGCGTGTCTACCGATTCATTTGCACGGAGTGCATTCTTCTTGCTCTGGGCTTGCTGCAGTCGAGGGCGCAGGCACAAAGATGAAACCCTCATAAGGCAGCTTCACACGTTCCTCAATCAACCTATCAATAGCGGGAACCTTCGTTGTGTACTGCACACCCTCAATCGCATATATCGCCTTAAATTGGTTCTTATTCTTTCCAGTAAGGAGAAGTCGCTGCTGAAGAACATAGTTAAGAACCCCCTCAGGCCCACTGCCCGTCGGAATCTTCGAACGCGCACGATCTTCGCCCATCCTCGAGGATTCAGGCCGTGGGTTGTTCACCACCGGAACGTCCTCCTTCTGAAAGAGCGGCTGTCGAAAAGGCCTTATGGGCCTCTGGACTACTTCCTTGCCCCTCCGCTGCCTCTCACGCACCTCATAAAGTTTAGCGATCTCGTCTTCAATGTCTTTAATCCCACGATCATCAATATCAACATCGTCCCGTTCCCTGATCGGAGTGAAAGCGGGGCGGTGAGCAGGGGAACGCAACTCCTCCCATCTTGCTTCTTCATGATTGACGGGGTACTGCCGCCCAATCTTCGACAACACACGAGCCTCCATTGCCTCTGAATTTCGCTCAATCTCCATCCGGATCAACTCGTCCATTTTCCGCTTGTCTTCGAACTCCTTCCTACGATTCTGCTCCTCCCTTTTCTCTTGGATGAGCTGCCTCAAGAAATCTTTTTCCTCCGAATCCTCCTGCGGGCGCCTTGGTGTCCAAAACCTCCACGCTGTTGGTGCCGGGGAACTAGCAACTCCTCCTCCCCTCGTCTGTTGCCGGTGCGAGGGGCATTCTCTGGCGAAGTGCCCTTCACCGCCGCAGTTAAAACATTTGTTACCCGATGGAGCCATCCGTCTTTGCTTTCGTTGTGAATGAAACGTGCGCGATTTCATTACCCAAAAACATTGGTCTCGTTTTCAAGCACGTTTGGGACTGCCACAGGACCCCCAGGGTCCCCCATAGCAAAAACGATAGAAAAACCTACCAATGGAAGAGCAAAAAGAAAACATCCTTTTCCCAGGCTTAATTCACAAAAACTGGCTACAACAGATTTCCTGCCAAATCCACGATGCCTGACAGTCACACACCTTAAACACTAATCCACATACATCCCACATACATCGTTAGTGGGATCTCGCTCCAGGTAGTCGTAGTGTGAGTATGCCCTCAGAATGAGAGCATGCTTTGAAAAAAAAAACGAGAGGGGCCTSATTAGCCAAGGATTGAGAAAGAAAACAGACAAAAGAGAGGAAAGGATTCATTCATCAGTCTGTTTATTCKTTCTTTTTCGTCAATATGCGGCCTAGCGTCATCTGTCTGTCGTCATCTATCTGTCGGYCTRGCTGCACTACTCGGCATTCTACATGTATCTGTTCTGCGCAACGGCCCAGATATGTTCCTGCCAGGGCTTCACCACTGAGACTGACTCTGTCGAATTTGCTGAGACCAAGAACAAGTTATCGGCCAAGGCTTTTGCCCTGCATTCCTTCCCCCGCAGTGTTTTGCTTTGCTGTTTTATATGTTTTTTATTTTTATTTTTTGGATTTTTTTTTTGCAGTTAGTTAGTATGGTATCCACTCTACGAATTGGTGGCAAGTTTGATTAAAATGACCCTTTGGTTTTCATATAAATGGCATGGCAAGTGCTCTGAAAATTAGGGACTCCGTTAACCTTCTCTCCCTGCATCGACGAAGGGGCAAATGTGTACATCGCAATAACCCACCTGTAGAAGCCATCGCCAAAACCCATTTTCCTCAGTCACTCAATTTTGAATCTATATTTAGATTAAGACTACGGAGATATCTCGGGTGCCCGAGTCCCGATGTCACACCCGGATTGGCGACCAGGTGACCGGCCGGGCATGACCCCCGGGCAGCCTCAGCTCAAAAAAAAAAATTAAAAAAAAATCAAATCCAAACAAATCTGAAAACAAAGTATGTTGTGTAGAATTGCAATACAAACAGCTTTTGGCTGAGGGTCACATCAGAATTCCTCACAGAACTAAAGATAAAAAAAAAAATAACCATATCACACTAAGGCACCCTCCTTTAAACCCCTTTAGCCCCTCTAAAATTCATTTACACTCCCCTTTCCCCCCCTTGACAGCCAACACTCGAAAAAAGAAAAGAGCCCGGATTTGGGCTCCTCTCGGAGAGCGCGGAAAATACCCACCGCCGTTTTTTTTTTTGTTTTTTTTTTTTTGTTTTTTTTGCCATGACCAGGTCACCCTGGCCTTAGACCCCCCTCGGGCGTCATGCCCGGGTGACCGGCCGGTCATGAAAATCTTCTGCAAGGAACATGAATATGGACGAAGCACAAAAATCCAGAATGCAAAATCACACTAAAGTCCAAGTAGTCAAARCCAAAGCAGATAGCACATGGAACCGAATAACCATCCAATTGAGAATGATACAGAAGAATCGTGAGTCACTGTCCATGCCCAATCAGGGCAACACCAACARYATAACCCAAATGTAGCTCTCTCTTGTGAATGGCGCCAGACGCGCTATCTACTCTACAACCTATCCTACAACTRCAGCAATGAAAAGCAACCAGACAACGTGACTACCAGCAAGTGATGATGTCAACACCAATGCCGACCTCCACCTTCACCAGGTACGTGTCCTCTTCCTCACACTCTCCCTTGTTACCCACACAGCGCCCTTCACTTCCGAAGACCACCTTCGCCCTTCACCTCTTCTGCACCCTCATGCGGCCCAGGCTATGGCCGCCAGTGCCCTGAGTGCAGGCAACGCCCTACCGCCTAGCGCTTGCCTGCTTGACCCTAGCGCAACACAGCAGTGCACAGTGCAGCATGCATGCATTAGCGCAGCGTGCCCGCAATGCCTGCATTGGCCAAGATCCCTGCTCACTCGCCCTGCTTGCCTATATGCCAGTGCAGCGTGTGGGCGGCCTCCCTTCAGCCTGTGACCGGGACCTAGAGGCTGAAGCCAACCCGATACAGTTGNCCGACCATGTTTCCTAGATTTACGAATCTTCCGCCGACAATTCAAAATTGGCGAGAAATTCTTGATCAAAACAGACTCCGCCGAAACTGTAGATTCAAGCTCATTTACTAGGGGAATTATGACATACTTACCTATGCCAAATTAGGATAAGYCTTTCGTACAGCTCAGGACAAGTACCAAGGCCCYGTAGCTTAACCGTGCGAAGATGTTCAACCCATCTAATGTATATTCCACGCGTGGAACACCCTATGTATTGCGCTTTACACCACGGGGAAGAAAGGATATAAACCACCGGTCCAGCATCCCAAGAATCCCGGTTGACGTTGAGCAGCAAAGACGTGAACTTCGTCATCCACAAGATCTCACCTAAAAGAGCCAGACCAACAAAACATAAGGTGACACACCTGTCATGCAACAAGCGAAGGTGGGCGGCCCCTCCATGGTTCCAAACGCGGTTCTGACGAACAATGCACTCAAACAGGTTCTGCCAGAGCCTGAGACGTGCGTGTCTACCGATTCGTTTGCACGGAGTGCTTTCTTCTTCCTCTGGGCTTGCTGCAGTCGAGGGCGCAGGCACAAAGATGAAACCCTCATAAGCCAGCTTCACACGTTCCTCAATCAACCTATCAATAGCGGGATCCTTCGTTGTGTACTGCACACCCTCAATCGCACATATCGCCTTCAATTGGTTCTTATTCTTTCCAGTAAGGAGAAGTCGCTGCTGAAGAACATAGTTAAGAACCCCCTCAGGCCCACTGCCCGTCGGAATCTTCGAACGAGCACGATCTTCGCCCATCCTCGAGGATTCAGGCCGTGGGTTGTTCACCACCGGAACGTCCTCCTTCTGAAAGAGCGGCTGTCGAAAAGGCCTTATGGGCCTCTGGACTACTTCCTTGCCCCTCCGCTGCCTCTCACGCACCTCATAAAGTTTAGCGATCTCGTCTTCAATGTCTTTAATCCCACGATCATCAATATCAACATCGTCCCGTTCCCTGATCGGAGTGAAAGCGGGGCGGTGAGCAGGGGAACGCAACTCCCTTTTCTCTTGGATGAGCTGCCTCAAGAAATCTTTTTCCTCCGAATCCTCCTGCGGGCGCCTTGGTGTCAAAAACCTCCATGCTGTTGGTGCCGGGGAACTAGCAACTCCTCCTCCCCTCGTCTGTTGCCGGTGCGAGGGGCATTCTCTGGCGAAGTGCCCTTCAACGCCGAAGTTAAAACATTTGTTACCCGATGGAGCCATCCGTCTTTGCTTTCGATGTGAATGAAACGTGCGCAATTTCATTACCCAAAAACATTGGTCTCGTTTTCAAGCACGTTTGGGACTGCCACAGGACCCCCAGGGTCCCCCACAGCAAAAACGATAGAAAAACCTACCAATGGAAGAGCAAAAAGAAAACATCCTTTTCCCAGGCTTAATTCACAAAAACTGGCTACAACAGATTTCCTGCCAAATCCACGATGCCTGACAGTCACACACCTTAAACACTAATCCACATACATCCCACATACATCGTTAGTGGGATCTCGCTCCAGGTAGTCGTAGTGTGAGTATGCCCTCAGAATGAGAGCATGCTTTGAAAAAAAAAACGAGAGGGGCCTCATTAGCCAAGGATTGAGAAAGAAAACAGACAAAAGAGAGGAAAGGATTCATTCATCAGTCTGTTTATTCGTTCTTTTTCGTCAATATGCGGCCTAGCGTCATCTGTCTGTCGTCATCTATCTGTCGGCCTAGCTGCACTACTCGGCATTCTACATGTATCTGTTCTGCGCAACGGCCCAGATATGTTCCTGCCAGGGCTTCACCACTGAGACTGACTCTGTCGAATTTGCTGAGACCAAGAACAAGTTATCGGCCAAGGCTTTTGCCCTGCATTCCTTCCCCCGCAGTGTTTTGCTTTGCTGTTTTATATGTTTTTTATTTTTATTTTTTGGATTTTTTTTTTGCAGTTAGTTAGTATGGTATCCACTCTACGAATTGGTGGCAAGTTTGATTAAAATGACCCTTTGGTTTTCATATAAATGGCATGGCAAGTGCTCTGAAAATTAGGGACTCCGTTAACCTTCTCTCCCTGCATCGACGAAGGGGCAAATGTGTACATCGCAATAACCCACCTGTAGAAGCCATCGCCAAAACCCATTTTCCTCAGTCACTCAATTTTGAATCTATATTTAGATTAAGACTACGGAGATATCTCGGGTGCCCGAGTCCCGATGTCACACCCGGATTGGCGACCAGGTGACCGGCCGGGCATGACCCCCGGGCAGCCTCAGCTCAAAAAAAAAAATTAAAAAAAAATCAAATCCAAACAAATCTGAAAACAAAGTATGTTGTGTAGAATTGCAATACAAACAGCTTTTGGCTGAGGGTCACATCAGAATTCCTCACAGAACTAAAGATAAAAAAAAAAATAACCATATCACACTAAGGCACCCTCCTTTAAACCCCTTTAGCCCCTCTAAAATTCATTTACACTCCCCTTTCCCCCCCTTGACAGCCAACACTCGAAAAAAGAAAAGAGCCCGGATTTGGGCTCCTCTCGGAGAGCGCGGAAAATACCCACCGCCGTTTTTTTTTTTGTTTTTTTTTTTTTGTTTTTTTTGCCATGACCAGGTCACCCTGGCCTTAGACCCCCCTCGGGCGTCATGCCCGGGTGACCGGCCGGTCATGAAAATCTTCTGCAAGGAACATGAATATGGACGAAGCACAAAAATCCAGAATGCAAAATCACACTAAAGTCCAAGTAGTCAAARCCAAAGCAGATAGCACATGGAACCGAATAACCATCCAATTGAGAATGATACAGAAGAATCGTGAGTCACTGTCCATGCCCAATCAGGGCAACACCAACARYATAACCCAAATGTAGCTCTCTCTTGTGAATGGCGCCAGACGCGCTATCTACTCTACAACCTATCCTACAACTRCAGCAATGAAAAGCAACCAGACAACGTGACTACCAGCAAGTGATGATGTCAACACCAATGCCGACCTCCACCTTCACCAGGTACGTGTCCTCTTCCTCACACTCTCCCTTGTTACCCACACAGCGCCCTTCACTTCCGAAGACCACCTTCGCCCTTCACCTCTTCTGCACCCTCATGCGGCCCAGGCTATGGCCGCCAGTGCCCTGAGTGCAGGCAACGCCCTACCGCCTAGCGCTTGCCTGCTTGACCCTAGCGCAACACAGCAGTGCACAGTGCAGCATGCATGCATTAGCGCAGCGTGCCCGCAATGCCTGCATTGGCCAAGATCCCTGCTCACTCGCCCTGCTTGCCTATATGCCAGTGCAGCGTGTGGGCGGCCTCCCTTCAGCCTGTGACCGGGACCTAGAGGCTGAAGCCAACCCGATACAGTTGAGCCCCGCGACAATGCAGTTGCGCCTCTTTCATCAAGGCCTGCAGCCAGATTCAGATAGTGGGTCGATTTCCCTTTGGCAATTTCGGCCTCTCTACCCAGCATGCATTGTCGGCCTCACGTTCGAGTGCCCAGTGCCTAACTAACTCAGAGGCCCTGGTCTTTCAGCATTTGCTGAAATTCGAGACTCGGTGCACTCCAACCAACTTGCGTGCTGCAACTGTATGAACCCCACTTCGTGAAATGTTGGCACAGATGGCTCTTGTTGATTTGCTGGCCCGCCTTCACTTAGGGCGGGCACGAGGCTTGCTGGGGCCTTAGCCCAGAACATGTACATCATGGCAAGGCCCCTACTTGAGGGCTCAATCCTCACATTCCATCCCCCTTAGCTTCGAAAGTCCGATGAGATGCTTACTTCGCAGGTGCCTTCCCTTTTAGCTTCCGTTCATAATCTGCCACCACCTGAGGAGCTGTTTCCATCAGTTCCTCCCGGGTAAA